ACCCTAGCCTTCCTGAATGAGAAGCTGCATTTTAACTAGATCCGCAGTTGACTTGTCTGCATGGTACGATTAGAAAAGCAAGGCTGTAGGTCCTAGAGTCTAGGAGAGGCATCCTGGGGTCACACTTCATAAAATACTGGTCAGTGCACAAGGTAAATATAAGAGCGGACACTTCAACTTATACCTCTGATAGAAGAGTACCTAACGTAGTACCTAGAAGAGGGCCAGTCTGCTGGGGAGTCAGGGAGTGTTCCTGGAAGAAGATTCAGATGTGAAATCGATTGGGACTTGAGGACTTGGGGGAAACTGCCAGCTTCTTGGGTGAAGGGCAAGAGAGTGAATGTGAAGAAGAGTAGGGCAGATATATAAGAAAGGCTTTCTGGTCTATAAGACATCTCTGCCATTGACTGTACATGTGTCTGGGTCAAGTAACTTCTCCCTGGATCTCAATTTTCCTTATCTGAAAAATAGAAATAATAATATTCTTCACCCTACCAACCTTATGGGATTGCTGTAAGCAGAAAATAAAGAGGGATATGATACAATGGCAGAAGTATAAAACTCTACACATAGTATGCTAATATCAGTCACTTTTAAAAGCTCTGGTCATTTTAATGAGGACCTATAAGCAAGTAGTTTCTTCCTTCCTGGTAGGTCTGTTTTTTCCCTTAAGCTGGGTCGATGCTGAGTCCAGCTTCCTCCGATCTCTATATGATTGGCTGTTAGTGTTGGCCTCCTAAACCAGCTCTTTTCCCCTTACAGTCTGCACATTGCAGAGCTAGGACATTATTAACCCTTTGAGTGTGTTAATAGTAAAAGATGAATTCTTCCATTCCACAGCCCCAGAGAGATGCATGTACCTAAAGACAATAATTCACACTGGAGTATTTTTATACACGCATGCATGTACATGCACACCACATGCAGCCTCCATCTGGAGAGGCTTTGAATAATAAGATTGAAGGGGAACTAAAACTGGAGATACTTGCTCATTAAATTCAAACCCTGTGTACCTGGAAGTTCAGGAATGGAGGCGTAGAGATTTATGGTGGTTCCCAGGTGTGTGGTTCACTAGTGGTATGACCAAGCATTAAGTTTTCCTTAGCT